AAACTGTATCGGGTCCACAAACTCTATTGGCGGCTTTAGATGCATTTTTGCCTTTATCGTAGTAGTACTGTAAAATATGCCGTATTTTCTCTTTATTTTGCTCCATGATTGCGAAGCTATAACTCACGAACGACTTAAAAGAAAAGAAAATCAATCAAACACGTGTTAGCGCGCGAAATGAGCTTTCCAAAAAGGGGTAGTATGACCTGATGCGACGAATAAAACAAGAACTACTACCAACTAGCAAAAATACCGCAAGACTTTTTTGACAACCTAATATAATAATAAAACTATTAAGTTTTTTTTTAGGTAGTTAGAAAGATTAAGGGAGCCCTAATCAAACCAGAAAGGCAACTTAAAAGCCATTTAAGCCATTTTCGTAAACCTGAGAAAATCCTGAAAACTCCCAACTCCCAACTGCCAACCCACTGCTGTTAAATTCTCCCTCTTAAATCTGCTAGTAATTAAAAAATCCATTTTTTATTATGGCAAAACAACGAGAAACAATTATGTTTATGCAAAATACGTTTATTCTTCTTCCTTGCACAAAAGCACTTTCATTCGGGGAATTTCGATGGGTTTTTTTGTATTTTTTTTTAGATCCTTATACCATATATAGTAATTGAGGGGACGTATCGAAAAATTCGCTGTCAAAACCACAACAAAGCAAATCTTTGATAACATGAACTCAATTAACATACACATAGGCGCCCCCAGCTAACACAGAAACACTCACACACACACACACATCCGAGCACCCCCAACATTGACATGTATTAAAATACCTTTTTGCATGTCCTGTGACAGGCAGCAAAAATTAACCGAAACAACGTCACGGCTCGGTTCCTTAAATGTGAATGTGAGTGAATTAGTTAGAGTGTGTGTGTGTTTGTGTGTGTGTGTGTGTATGTTTGTTAGTAGCTTTATGAGTTTTGAGGGGGGCAAGGGTGTGAGTGTCGGCAATTAATGCTGTCATTGTTATTGCCACAAAATTTCAAAAAGCTTGGCTTTTCGAAGAAGGAAGTTCCCAAGCAATGCAAGATTGTTAAAAAACGAAAAATAATAAGTTAAGGAAATTCTATATTTAAAGAGATATTAAATGATATCTTTTAAGTTAAAAAGTTCAAGTTGTAAACCTAATCAAAAAAATAGCAAGAAAATGTTAAATTAAAGACGAAATATCAACAAAGTTAACCCTTTAATCCAAACAAAAGCATATTCAAAGTGCAAAACTAATGAATTTCTCAGCTGGCCATGAGTCCTGAGCTGTAATCTATTGACTTTTTCATAAATTTCCATCTCAACAATATGAATTCCAGGAGAAATGGGATACTCGGTCAAAGGGAAATATCCAGAAATGGATTTTAATTCCCATGTTGCTACGGTATTTGTGCAACTCAACCCAATCGAAGCGAATCGAATCGAATCGAATCGCTCAAGGAAAATGCCAAATTAAACGCTCTTTGACTTTGGCTTATTACAAATTTTGGCCAAAACACATACACACTAGTGCAATATTACTCACACGCACACAGTTACAGTAAAGTAAACAAAAGTGAAAACATTTTTGGGGCCATAACATTTTTGAGCTTGGATTTCTAGATGCTCGCTCTGTGTGTGCATTTCTTTCCCTTTTTTTTCATTCCTTCCCTTACTACTTTACCTTCTCAGCTTTCCCACACACACACACACACACGTGCACTAACACACATACAAAGAGACACTCACAAACACTGACATCCTGCAATATCCTTTTCGCAGCAGTCACAATCAAATGGCCGGATAGAGAGATTGCATCTCTTGTGGCACTGAAATTGCGCATACGCAATGTTGTCACTGGCATTTTTCCGCAAAGATAGCTATCAGCAAGCCATAGTATACATTTATGCCTTTCAATTGTTCATGATGAGCAAGCACACACATAAGCACTAACACTTTTACAAAGTCGTGCAATGAAATATTTGAGAAATCAACGAGAAAACGGGAAAAATTCATTCGCGTAGGCGCTACGAGTATCTCAAAAAGGTAAACAAAGCTAAGTCGAGGAGAAGGGGGAAGGTAAAATTTCGGAAACAAAGTCGACTTATCATGTACCTTTTAATGGGAAATGAATATGTTATTTATGATTAGGGTAAATATTAATGTTTTTGGACAAAGTACAGTCTTAGCTGATCAGAAAATAGAAAAATTATAAGAAAAGAAGGAAATTTTATATATATTACGCACTTTAGTATGAAATTTGAGGCAATATTAGTGGAATAATAACCATTAACATTCGTTTTAAGGTTATTAATTTCGGAAACTAAACTTTACCATACCAAGAAATATGATTTTCTGATGGAAATCTAGTTAAACGAAGTTAAAGTAGCTAAAAAAAAAAGAAAGATTTATTTCTTTAAAAATTTAAACAAAAATCTTTGCAGAAATCAAAAAATATTACAATAATAAAGTGTTTTCCGTTTCGTGCAACCTTCTTTATTGGCCACCATGCCATATTTTCTCCCCGGGATGATAATCATCTGTCACTTTCAGGGCATCAAGACAAACAAGGGAGGGCATAAGGAGGGGTGGTGGTGGTAAGGAGAGGGCAGCGAGGTAGCTCAAAAACCGAAACCAAAATGCAAAACGTGACTTTTCCCAGAGCCGTCGACTGAGGCGCTAACTGCCAGACTTGCTGACTACGGCGGACTTTCGAGACGTACGAACGGACGGAGGGACAGCCCAGTTTTGTAAATTTGTTTGCCTTTCCTTTCGCGCGCGGTCTTGGCAATTATTAGCGGGGCAAGTCAACAAGTCAAACGCCGTGACAAAAAACTCTGTGGGGGTGGGGGAAAGCCATTTCCATTTTCATTTCCATAACCATTTCAATTTTTATCTCGCTGAAAGTAGAACCCTTTTTGATATCAATAAGCGAGAGTATAAAGGAAATCCCCAATTGACTGATTTTGGTTTGAAAGATGGAAGGTGGGAAAATCAAAATAGATGAGCCTTGTTACCGGGGTTTCTTTTCACAGATAGTTTGAAATTTTATTTGTTAAAATTCATAGAAAATATAGGAAAGATTTCTATAGAGATATAATAAAGATTCAGATTAAATTTGACTAAGTAAGAATAGATTTTAGCTAAGATTTATTTATTTTTTAGAGATTTTTGAAAATTAGTTACATTTTTAGTAATTTACTTTAGCTTAAGATATGCTAAGATTTTTGTTAAAATATTTCTTTAAATGGGTTTAAAAATAAGTCAAAAGTTTAACGAAAACTTAGCATTTCTTAAGCTGAAACTTTTTCAAAAATCTGCTTAAAATTCTGAAATATTTGAAATAAAACAAACTTCTTTCAGGACTACATATAAATTCTCTCAAAAATTGCTAAGAAAATCTATAAAAAAAATACCCCGATTTCCTTTCCATACCTTCGCTTCGAGAAGATTCCTGATTGTTTGGGAAATTTATGGACTGCGGTTCAGGGATTGAGAGCTGAATTCCTTCATCTCCTCCAGTTTCATTTGCAGAAGCTGCTGTTTCATGCATATTTATTTATTTATTTATTTATTTATAAGCCGGTTTGGCTTGGCTCTCTGCTGACTGACTGACTGGCATATTGTATTTGGTTAATTGAAATTGATTTCCCGCTTTGCCAGGCCACCTGAAGGAGACTTTCTCTGATAAAAATCAATTTCAGTTTCTTAGCAAATTGCATAATCGCGGGGTGTTGTTTGGTTTTTGGTTTTTAGACTTAGGGTTTTTGTATTTTAGATTTAAGGCTTGTGTTTTGGTTTTCGGAAAACTTGAACTAAACCACAAGCTGACCGAGTTGAAGTATGGGTGGTGCAGATTGTGGGTGGTGGTGGCTCAGTTCAGCTCAGTTGAGTTAAGTTCAGTGGTGGTGATGGTGCTTTCGAAGTGAGTTAAACCGCAAGAACCGCTGACCTGCTTACTTGAGTGCTGGACACAAAGTGGGGGCCATATTGTTTGTGTGTGCGTGCAACATGCAACACCAACTACCCTCCGCTGTGACGTCAATGAACACGCAAGCAAGCACCCCACGCTGACAACAAGAACAGCAACAATGCAGCAAAACAGCAAAACAGACACACAGCCGACAATAGCAACAGCAACAGCAACAGAAATTGCAACACAGCAGCAACATTTGGACAAAGACAGGGGCGACAACAATGGCAAAAACTTCGGTGAAAATGCTATGACAAATGATTAAATACCAGGGGGTTGGGAAAAAGAAATGGGGAAAAGTGTTTAAGGGGGGTAGAGCAGTTAGGGAAAATCAACTACAAACTGACTTAAAGTTTGAACTTTTTACCTACAAAAACTCAACTTAAAAGTTAACTTTTTTAACAATCATCAAATATTCAAAATAACATATCATGCCTGTAATCCTTTTCACCATCCATTAACCCTTGTCTGCCCTAATAAATATAATTTTTCTTGCTACCTTTTATTATCACCATAGGAGGTATGCCCTGCCCCATCATCATCTCTCACTGTCACAAAGTGAGGACTTAATCAGATGTATTCAAAGCGAAATTCCATAACGACCTTGATAAATGGGTGTATTAAGGTGCATTACCACCACCCAATGAACTCGATGGACGAGCAGAGTATTTGGTGTTATTGTGGGCGCAGCAACTATGTCAATCAGCGGGTTTTACTTACTTAGCGTATGCATTAGCCGAACTTAATTAATTACTTTGTCCGCGCGCGTAATTACAAAGTCAGTTTTAGAGTGCTTGGCGGGGGGGGGGATGAATTGTCTTAACCACAAAACTCAATTCAACTTTTGGTCGAACCGCAATCGAAGACAAGTTAAGCGTAAAGTTTAGCTATTGAGAGCGTTTTGTATTTAATTCAATTGATTAAATTTTATGCACAATGTAAGGGGTGGGGGGATCGAATTTTATAGATATTTCATAGATACCGATAACAAACAGTAATTGCCTTTGAGAGGGTCCTTAAATCACAAATGTAAACGACGCTTACTCACCTCTAAGCTATTTTCCAAGATAGCATCATCGAATTTGATAAACCCCGTCAAGGTGATAACTGCAAAAAAAGTTAAAAACAAAAAAAAGGTAAAGTTAAGTAGAGAGAGAGAGAAAAACAGAATGTGATTACAACGGCCAAACAAGTGTGCAAATAGCTATCGATTCTATTTGATTAATTGTTACAGACAATCGAAAATGTAAACAATATGTTAACAGCCCCCGATTATCGCACACACACGTTATGTGGGCTTTTTGGTGGGGGTGGCAATTCAGTCGAGGCCTCTATAATTCCCGCGGTAATTAGACCAACATTCCAGTAGTAGTAGTACACTAAAGGTTTTCAGAGAGATAAAACCAAACAATAGCTCAGCGCTCAGCTCAGCGCACAATGACAATAAAAGCATAGGAAAAAAAAAATACAAATTTAAAATAAAAACATAAAATGTAGAATACTAAAAATAAGAAAGGTAGAGAAAAACCCCGTTTGGCGAGTGCCGGCGACGATGCCGGCGTAATTAAAAATTTCTTATCAATTCAAATTGTTAATTGTTGTGGCTGGCTGGATGGCTGGGTGGCTGACTGGCTGGCTGGCTGGCTTATTCTACACACAGTAAGTGCTGTGTGTATCTATATCTATTGTACATAAATTTATATGGGCAGACATACGGTGCTTTATGGGGCTGAAGGCGAAATATGAGGGACTAGATCGATAAACTCCCCCCCAAAAAAAAAAATCCCCTTAATAGGGTAAAAACCTGGCCAAAACTGCCGTAAATTGTGTAACAAAACTGGGCAAATATCTTCATTTCAAGTTGGTTTCTCATGGTTTATCGTTTAGATATATTTCATTTGTGATATAAATATATAGTTATCGATTAAAGCCCTTTGCTAATTTACATTTAATAACCTGTTTCGCTTCAACAACTTCTGAGAAAAGGTATTTTGAGGACACAGATTGGGATTTGGAATGCCCAGCGCCCAAAATGCAAATCAAAATCATAATGTTTTTCTCATTTTTATAGCTAGGTAGAGCAGGCTGGCCAAACTACATATAAAGCATAAAGTTGGAACTCTACAGTCAGCCAAAAAAAATATATCGATAAGTTGTATAAAATATCTTTAAGATTTGTGTGTTTTAAACTTAATATTTGGACTTAAAATTCATATTATAATAATTTTACAAATATTTTATCCTTAAAAATATCGAAAATATACGTTTTTATGTGTATATCGAAGTAATTGTTTATCGATAAACCAATGTTAATCAATAACAAGCTTATGAAGCTAACCAATAGCTGTAAAATCCTCTCTGTTATTGCATAGTAATCCTAAAAGCCACCCTTCTTATATCTCAAACTGAAAAACAAACTCATATTTTCTCAGTGTAGTTTATAGTGTGGAATATTAGTAGCCTTGTCTTTGGCCCGACCTCAGAACTCAGTCCCATACCCGAGGCTAGCAAATTGAGCTGGATGTTTTCACTTGCCATTTCCGGCTCTGCAACAACAAACCACAATTTCTACCTCCTTTCCCTCTACCACCCACAAACACACACACACAGAAACTATCTAACGTACGGTAGGGAATGAAAATGAAAATTTAGGAAGGACATGGCATTGTTCCGATGAATCCTGTTTTGTGGCCAACAGTGAGACCATGAGAGGTCCAGTCGTATTCGTTTACCATAATTACAATCATCATCTGCCTGTTATTGGAGGACTTATCGCCTAAAAGGGTTGAAGGGGAGTTGAAAATGTGCCTGGAATTGGGGGGATATTAAATTAATTCAAAGCCAAACGAATGGAAAACGCTTACAATTTACATGTCCACTTATGGCAATTTCAGATTACATTTGTTTAGTTTTGTTATTTAATAATAGGGAGAAGGTAAATGAAAGGGCTATGAAGTAATAGGAGATATCTGATAAATCTGATTTCCGTTGAAAGGAAAGTTGTGATTTTGTTGTGATTTAGATTGTTGTTTGTAGAATTTGAGATAATTGAGATACAAATTGATTAATAGTTATTAAAGTAAATTGAATTAATATGTACTTAATGTTTATGTTGGTTTATAAAATCAATTTATAGGAAATTTAAACAAAGTTTAAGCACTCTTTTCTTGCTATTAATTAGAATATATTTTGGCAATCATTTTGGGAATTTCGGGAATACAAAACTCAGCTTTTTGACAAATCAAATTTGTGCTTTAAAATTATTTTTCATAATTTAAAATTCCATAAAATCCGTTTTACAGTCTTAGCTGGTGGCTTATATCAATCAGAACTTCCTCAAGCTCCCCCAACACTTGTAGTTCTCTTTGGCATCGCTTCGATTTTATTGGCAATGACAATAGCTTTTTGAAATCACTTTGCGATTTTTGTTTAGTTTTTTCCTCTTTTTTTTTCTTGGCAAATTAATGCCAAGGCACTTGCTGCCAACATGTTGTGCATGCAAAAAGATCTGTAGATCGTTATGGGATTGGAATCGGAATGGGGGGAATTATACAACTTCGATTCCAGAGCGGCACGCGACTTTGCGGCTGCGCATTTGAATATAAAAAAAAAGCCAAAAAAAATCAAGCAAATTATTTGGTCAAAAATAATGCCAGTCATGTAGCGACGTCAGTGTGTATTTGTTGGTTTTATTCGTATTTTAGCCGTATTTTTCAACGGTTGACAAATTGAGCCAAAATGATAAAGCAAGCGTATAGGTGTTAGCTTCTTTTTTTCCTCACTCAGACGAATTCTTCTGTTAATGATCACAATTCAAATTCAACGTCCGCATGTGTGATCCAGACTTCTGGGTCTTATTTCTTTATGATTACTTCCATTAACGACAAAATGTGTCGCTAATTGGTTGGATTCGATATATATATTTATGTATATACTCCAATATTAAGTAACCGATAGACCATGGATCTCTTAACTATATAGCAGCAAGCCTGTTTGTCTAAAGTAAACAATAGAGAAATAATAAAAAAATGAGAGAGAAATAAGATCCAAAGCATATTTGGCCCAAATTAAGTTCTGTTCAAACACCGTTCAAGAACCTGTTATTCAAAAGCTGTTGACAACTTGTTGCCAGCGGGCAAACAGCGCTAACATTTCCCAAGAATGCGAGATCACCTGTTTCCACCTCCCACACACGCACTCTGCACACACACACACACACTTGTCCAAACCATTATCCGTATCTTTTATCTATATCTTTTTATTGGGGATATTCCTTGAGGCAGTGTCGGCTTTTTGGGTTTTGAAGTGACTGCGGGTAAACATCAACAGGAATCATCAAACACAATCCCATCCATCTAAATTTCAACAAAATCCTGACATTCCGCAAATATTTACTCCCACATTTCGGTTATGCCGGACTGCTCTTTCTGATCTACAAGATATATATATATGTCTATATACGTTTGTTTCTAGATCTTTATTTAGAGGTAATAAGAAGAAAGATGAGGGAAAACCTAAGCAAAGGGTTCGATTTTTGAATTCGCTTTGGCTTGCATGTCTTATGGAGCGATATATTGATATATTCCGATAGATTTATCGATATATGTTATATATTATATCACTCGAAATAACTTAGGAATAGGTATATATAGTCTAATCGTTCTTAAATATTTCTTTATATCGATAATCCGATATATATTATCGATATGTGTTATATATTATATCACTCGAAAGAACATAGGAATGGGTATATATAGCCTTATCTTTCTTTAATATTTCTTTATATCGATAATCCGATATATATTATCGATACATGTCATATATTATATCACTCGAAAGAACCTAGGAATAGTTATATATAGCCTTATCTTTCTTAAATATTTCTTATATATCGATAATCCGATACATATTATCGATATATGTCATATATTATATCACTCGAAATAACTTAGGAATAGGTATATATAGCCTTATCTTTCTTAAATATTTCATCTTTACTGGTTGTGTATTGCATTTCTTATATATCGATAATCCGATATATATTATCGATACATGCCATATATTATATCCCTCGAAAGAACTTAAGAATTGGTATATATTACCTTCTCTTTTTTAAATATTTTTTCTTGTTAATTTAAGTTTTGTCTTTCGAAACCTTTTCTCCTTCAAGTCTTAAAAATATCTTAATATTTAAGCAAGTCGTAAAGTCATTTCTATATGTTTTCCGATTAATTTATAACTCCTATTAACTCTAGATAATAGCCCAAATAACAGATAGTTCGCATTTATTGGATTTATTGCCATATAATTTAGATTTAATGAGCTTACTATCGCATGGCCCTATTTTGGATATATTAAAAAGGCATTTCCATATAAAGCGATATCTTTCAGTGATAGAATCTACACTACAAGTATATCTTCATAATTAAAAGTTAATCAAGCTTATCTTATTTGCTTTCCATAACCTTCCAAGCCAACTTATGTTGACGAATAATTCATTTTTTTGATCAAATTGACACCTATTAGACCGACCTGGTCAATATATATTTGGCTATTTATCACTCGGATTTCTTATTCAAAGCGAAGGCTTTTCAGAGCGTGTATCGTATAGTGTAAGTACGACGTAGATGCGGACTGAAACCCTATATATATATGTATATATATATATATATATCTAGTTCAAATTCGATTCGCAAACAGGTCGGCGACAAGACATTTGTTTGATAAAACGTTATCGGCCAATTGGGGGGTCTCTGACACCCGAATAATGTTGCCACAATGGAGTGGTCTGTGGGGGGAGGGTGTGGGGCCTGGGAAGGGAAATCGACGATGGAGTTGGTCTAAATTTAGAAGTCTTTTTTTTGTCTTCTTTTCTTTTGACAGACCATCGTAGCGTTACGTTGATAATACGATTGTTTTCTGTTTTTATTATTTTTTTTTTCTCTGTGTGTATTTTTATTTTTGGCAGCCAGTTTTTGCCGGTTATTGGCCAGAAACTTGTTGACTTTTCTCTCTCCTTTTTCGATTCGAAGACTGCACAGCACGTGCAAGTTGCACTTGTTATGCGGCGTCAGAGGCAGAGACGTCTTTTTCTCTTACCCCACTTG